CAACGGTTTGCAAAGCGTGGTGGACTCCAAATAAATATTTGAGCCACACCTAGTCACAACAAAGACACACATTATATACATTCTATCCCGACGCCTTGGCCCCTCCTCTGAGGTTACAATCTTATCAGAGCCGCCTAAACAAAATACATTATCCCTGCCCCTTACTATTTTGCTTCACCTATTCCCTTATATGTACTTTTATCATGAAATCCTATAGTTCAGTGTGGAAATCCTATAGCCTACGTGCAGAACTCTTACAAGGTACGTGTACATGTAGAAATTGTGTAGAAATCTTGCAGTCTACGTGTAGAAATTTTGTGTAGAAATCTTACTGTCTGCATGTAGACATTTTACAGAGTACGTTGGCTTTTTTTGGCAGCTGCAGCACACTGCTGGCTCATATCTAAGTGATTGTCCACTAGGACTCCGAGGTCCCTCTCACAGTTACTACTATTGAGCAAGGTACCCCCTATACTATACCTGTACATTTGGTTTTTCTTGCCTAAATGTAGAACCTTACTTTTTTCACCATTGGATTTCATTTTGTTAGATAGCGCCCAGTGTTCAAGTCTGTCCAGGTCCTCCTGTATCCTAAGCCTGTGTCACTTTACTTTACTTTTTATTCTAAAAATTTATTCCTAACACCGTGGGAAAAAAACAAAGCAAAACAAAACAAAACTCGTCTCCCTCGGGGTCGCTGCGCCCATTTTGATCTTTACAAGCCCCGAAACTCTCAAATCCGCCGCTGCTGGTGGACTGGCGCCATCTCACGGTGCAAGCAAAGCAATCCTCGCCTTTATTTTCCCTTTCTTTTCCCAAACCAGCCCCGGCAGCTGCTGAAACGCGTTCAAAAAAAAAAAAAAAAAAAAAAGCAGGCGAGACGTCGGAAAAAGCCGAGGGAGGCTCCTGCCTCCTTTCGGGAGGTCCCGGAAAGGCCCGGATGGTTCCGAACGGGGCTCGCGAAAAGGAGCGGAGCCTTTCGGAATCTTCCGGAAAAAACGCTCGCCACGCTCGAGGTCGGAGCGACGTTGGCTTACCCGACGGGGGGTCCCCTCTTTCGGCAATTTCCGGCAGGTCCGCCCGGATTTGCCATTGGCCGGGAGAAGACGCCTCTCCGTTTCGGCGTTTTCCGGCCAGGCTCGGCTTGTTCCGCCCAGGCTGGCGGCTGGAAACAGTCGGGAGTCGGGCTTCGTCTGGACGAGCGGCGGAGCGTCCTGGTCCGGGTCGGGGATGGCATCCCCCTCGCGGAGGCTGCAGACCAAGCCGGTCATCACCTGCCTGAAGAGCGTCCTCCTCATCTACACCTTCATCTTCTGGGTGAGGAAGGGTCTAAGGGAACAATGGGGGGCGGAGGAGGGGTCTCTTTCCTCCCCCCCGCCCCGGACAGGGGAGCAGGGCAGGGTTTCTTGGCGTTTCTCCCCTTCCCACGCCCCCAAAGTTGCCTCTTGCAAAGAGAGGGGCGCCGTTTGCAAAGAGAAGGGGGGACTACATGCCCCATCATGTAGCACAGCCCATGATGGGGGCCTCTGGTCCCACCTGCCCGGAGGAGACCCGGCCAACAGCTTACACCGTGTGCAAAAAAACGATGTGCGGTTCTACCCCAGCAGTTTTTCAAACTTGGAAACTTTGAGATGCATAGACTGCAATTCCCAGAATTCCTCAACCAGCATTATTGGCTTATTTGTTTAGGCCAGGGGGTAGGCAACCTTGGCTCTTTTAGGACTCGTGGACTTCAACTCCCAGAATTCCTGAGCCAGCATGGCTCAGCATGGAAACCTCTCCCTTTCCCCTCCGCGTGGCTGGCTCAGGAATTCTGGGAGTTGAAGTCCACCAGTCATAAAAGAGCCAAGGTTGCCGACCCCTGGTTTAGGCGTTGCATGCGATGGGAATGCATGAATGCAACGCTGCATCTAATATTGTTGGACCAAGGCTATTCTTCCCATTGCCCTCCTGTTCTTTGCATTTCCCTGCCACGCTTACCAGCTTGTTGCATTCAACCAAAGTTTATTTAACCGTAATCCTTGTGGTTGTGTGAACGGAACCCAGCCATTGTGGCTCTGGAGTCGTGGCTTAAACACAGAGTGTGAGGACTCAGCCCTTGTAGCGTCAGCCCTTCCTTATCCTGCCAACTTTGCCGTTTGAGAATTCTTTCCAAGCAGAAAAAAAAAATAGAGGAAAGGTGACCGGTTTCAGGTGAAGGTGATGTTTTTTAGTTCTCCATCTGCTGATGAGATAATCTGGTTGTAATCAGGGTGCCAAGTTCAGTCTCTTATTTTTCTCTCTGCCCTTGTGCCTGATCAAGAGTTGTTGAAAAGTTGTTAAGTTGCAGGGAGTTTTGTAAACTGAACACAAGGAGAGACTCTTACAAATCCTTTTTCCACACAGCAGGAAAAACCATCTCCTTCCTCTTGTAGATTGGTCTCTAAAGACACTCAAGGGAGAGAAGCAAAATCTGATTTCCCACTGTCTCAAAGGAATGTGCGTCCTGTTTCTTTTCCTATCTCTTCTGGGATCAGTAACAAAGGCATTTCTTGCAGATGCAACACAGCCTGATGAAATGGACACCCCAAAAGAACAGAGCACCCCCTTGTCTCTCAACACCCCCTCCCCATCTAAAGAGGACACATTGAAATCAAATCAAATCAGTTTATTACAGCCATAAGGCCAGAAACAGTAAAATATCCAACTGCTGGCTACTTACATACATGCATATGTAAAAATGCACTGAGCATGATCTAATGATGAATAAGAACAGAGATAATATAGTTAATTTTAAGAAGTATTATTAAAAAAGAGGAATGTATCCAAACAAATGATGGTACAGTGTCCTTGTCTTATAGCCACTTGCCACTTCATCTATATTATTACATCTATATTTTGCTGTTAACCAGCAAAATAAAATGCCTTCATCAGTCCTACTAATGTTTGGATGTATCCCACCGACAGGTAGTAAACAGCAGCATCTGGACTTTTTGCAATCTCCTATAAGTTAGGCTATAAGTTATTAAACGATTAAACAGATTTTACTGCACAGAGGGTACAGAAACGTGTTCCTTCTTGCAGATAAGAGAAGAATAAAATGGATCTAAACGGCTTGTGAATTTTGATAGAATTTGAAATGACGTCTTTAGACCCAACTACCTCTATAAAAGCCACCATATACAAAATTTAAAGATGATACTTTCAAACGTGTTTATCTTATTTATGTTTCCGACGAATCCCCAGGGAAATATATTTTCTCTCCAACCATCAAAACTCCTCCATATTGTAATCAAATAACATCATTGCTTGGATAAGGTAGAGAGCCCCCTCCTTCAAAGAAAGGGCTCAGAGAATATGGTAAGGAATATAGTAAGAATATTGTAAGGAATATAGTAAGAATAGAGTAAGGAATATTGATCTTCTCTGATAGGTGCCAGGACTAAGGTCTTGAGTCTTTCTACTTTTTTCTTTAAAAAAAAAAAAAGTTGCCAGCTTGCTTTTCAGGATTTTTTTTTGGGGGGGGGGGGGAGGTGAATAGCAATGTATGGAATGCAGTCAGTAACCATGTCTTTTCCTTCCAACTCTGCTGCTTCAGGCTTTGGATTCAGGTGAGTGTGGTTTTTCCAGGGGAGTAGCAGAATTAGTCTTTTGAATGCAGCCTATTGTTGTTTTTCGTTGTCTCTTTCTACAGAAGAGAAATGGAAGGGGATCTGTGAAGGTGGGAATGGGGGTGGGTGGGGAAGTGGGATCTAGGGGACAGGGAAATCCCCAAGGGCTCGCTTTTGAAGGACTTGGTGGAAGCTGGTTGTAGAATGAGAAAAAATACCTGCTTGTGAGACAAGAGGCTTAAGAGTGCAGTGGGAAGTAAAAGAGGAAAAAAACTTTCCTAGGGGCTGGGTAAATCCTTACTTTGCTTGAATGATCTACTGTGCAGTTCAGTTGCACGCTTCCTAAAGGATGGTGAGCATTGTTTGTCAAAAACTTTTGAAAAGAGTTTAAAAAGTACAACTTCATTCTGAACCCTTAAAGCAAGATGATGGGCTGCGTAATTTTAGGAGGAAAGACCATCGTGGATCATCAGTTTGGTCTAGTGCAGGGGTAGGCAACCTTGGCTCTTTTATGACTCGTAGACTTCAACTCCCAGAATTCCTGAGCCAGCATGGCTCAGCATGGAAACCTCTCCCTTTCCCCTCAGCATGGCTGGCTCAGGAATTCTGGGAGTTGAAGTCCACGAGTCATAAAAGAGCCAAGGCTGCCTACCTCTGGTCTAGTGGTTAAGGCACTAGGCGAGAAACCAGGAGACCTGAGATTTCTAGTTCCACTTTAGGCATGAAAAACCATCTGGATGATTTTGGGCCAATCATCAGGAAACAGTGAGTTTTAGTCCCACCTTAGTCATGAAAGCTGACCAGGAGACTTTGGCCCAATGACCAGGAGATGGTGAGTTATAGTCCTGCCTTATACATGAAAGCTGGCTGGGTGACTTTGGGGCAATCACCAGGAGACAGTGAGTTATAGTCCTGTCTTAACCATGAAAGCCAATTGGGTGACCTTGGACCAGTCCCCCCCTCTCTCAGCCCAATTTGCCCCATTGGATTGTTGTGGGAAAAATAGGTGGAGGATGGAGTATTATGTATATTTGCCACACTGAGTTATTTATAAAATAATAAAGACGGGATATAAATAAATACTAAATGAATTGTACCCAGCCACAAATCGTGAGCAGGGATACACCTTTTTGCTTTCTCTTATGCCGTCTCCCTCTTTCTCAGCCCTTTTGGAAAAAAAAATATGACAGTTTTCCTGTGCTAGTAATCTAAACCAATCCTTGCAACCCATTTTTGGAATTCATTTTTGGGAACTGTTAAAATTGGATTCCTCTCCCCCAATGAAGAAAGGCGGATCTCCCATCCCTCAAAAATTTCTACATGCATGCTTGAGGGGCCCAGCAGTGATTCTGAATGAAAGGGGTTATATGTACTCTTGACGTTAATATGAATGAAGTCAGCTCAAAGCAGAGTTGACCTGCATCAACGCAACGGTAGCACAGAACCACTGAGAAATCTGAGTACGAGGAATGGCTTGTTTGCGGGGAAACATCTTCTGAGATGTTACCTTTTGACTTAACACATTTTTCTTCTTCTATTCTTCCAGTTCTCTGGCGTCATTCTCCTGGGCGTTGGGATTTGGGGGAAGGTGAGCCTGGAGGTCTACTTCTTCCTGCTGAATGAGAAGGCCAGCAACGTTCCTTACGTCCTGATTGGGGCAGGGCTGGTGGTCGCCCTGCTAGGCACCTTTGGCTGTTTTGCAACCTGTCGCGGAAGCACATGGATGCTGAAACTGGTAATTGTTCCAAATGGCCTTTGGTTGAACTGCAAGAAACTGGCTGGGATTTGCAATTTCAGTCCATGTGAAACACATGCATGCTATCCTGTTGGTTTCTTTGATTAACAGTAGAAAAATTATATTCTGTTTTTATCTAAATACAGGACAGAATTTTAACCCAACTAGACCAGGGGTAGGCAACCTCGGCTCTTTTATGACTCATGGACCTCAACTCCCAGAATTCCTGAGTCAGCTATGCTGACTCAGGAATTCTGGGAGTTGAAGTCTATGAGTCATAAAAGAGCTGAGGTTGCCTACCCCTGAACTAGACCGTACTTTATGATTTGGCACTTTCCCCCCCTCTGCAAAGTGTCTTGTTATAGCTGGGGTACAGGCACTCCTTGACTCACGACAATTCTTTAACCACTGAAGTTACGCCAGTAACTGAAAAACGTGACCTGTGGCTAGTGCTCTCACAAATGACCATCACAGTGTCCCTACAATCACTTGACCGAAATTTGAGCAACTGGCATGTATTTATGATGGTTTGCACTATCCTGAGGTTATGTGACACCCCCCCTTTTGCAATCTTCCCAGTCAGCTTTTGTCAATCAAAGTCAACGGGGGAAAGCAGATTCGCTTAACGGATGTGTGACTTGCTTAACAACTGCAGCAATAAAAGTTGTAAAATCAGGATTGACTCAACAACCGTATTGTTTAGTGCCAGAAGTTCTGGTTCCAATTGTCATAAGTGAAGGACTTACCTGTATAATATTTTTTACTCTTGTACCACAGCAATGAGGGTCATTTTGATGTTCATTCCTGTTTTCTGTTCACAGTACGCTATGTTCTTAACCCTCATCTTCCTTGTGGTGCTGGTGGCTGCCATTCTGGGTTTCGTCTTCAGACATGAGGTTCGTGCTATGTCTTCGATAATTTGCTGTCTTAATGGGGTAAAAATGGAACTTCCTGTTGTTTTTCCTCAGGAAGTTTGCAATAGGATCCTTTTTTTTTTTGCTTTTATTGAAAGCTGGAGCTGGCCAAACAGCAAAAATTCCTGAAAAATCCTTCCAGCAAAGGTTATTTCGTTCAAATTTAATAATAATAATAGTAATAATAGTAATAATAGTAATAATAGTAATAATAGTAATAGTAATAGTAATAGTAATAGTAATAGTAATAGTAATATAATAATAATAATAATAATAATAATAATAATAATAATAATAATAATAATAATAATAATAATAATAATAAAAAAAAAAAAGTTGGAAGGGACCTTGGAGGTCATCTATTCCAGCCCTCTGCTCAGGCAGGAAACCCTATACCATTTCGGACAAATGGCTGTCCAGTCTCTTCTTAAAAACTTCCAGTGTTGGCGCATTCACCGCTTCTGGAGGCAGGTTGTTCCACTGGTTAATTGTTCTAACTGTCAGGAAGTTTCTCCTTAGTTCTAGGTTGCTTCTCTCCTTGGTTAGTTTCCATCTGTTGCTTCTTGTTCTGCCTTCAGGCGCTTTGGAGAATAGCTTGACTCCCTCTTCTTTGGGGCAGCCCCTGAGATACTGGAGCTCTGCTATCCTGTCCCCCCTCGTCCTTCTCTTCGTTAAACTAGACATACCCAATTCCAGCAACTGTTCCTCATATGTTTTAGCCTCCAGACCCCTAATCATCTTTGTTGCTCTTCTTTGCACTCTTTCTAGAGTCTCAACATCTTTTTTACATCGTGGTGACCAAAACTGGATGCAATAGTCCAAGTGTTGATCTCCATTTTTTAAACACAGTTTCCTAAGAAACTCCATTCATTTATCTAGAGTCCAGCTGGATTGAGGTGGTATGTAATTTCATAGTAAAGACCTTTGGGGACAGTAGGAGTGTGTGTAAAATTGCCCTTAAGTTGTTCAAAGCTTCTCTTTATGTTCTGTAAAACTTTGGAATTTCTTTCCAAACGAGCCTGTCTGACTTGTGACTGAAATTTTGCATAGCCAATTTAGGGTAGGACTGTATGTAGAAGCTGTTTGAATCCAAAGCAAAACGTGGATTGTAATGTAAATCCTTCCAATTCTAAATCCTTTACATTTTTTAGCATCCACGGTGGGGTGGCTTAATGTGCCAACATGCATTTGAAAACATCTGCTCTGCCATTTTTTGCTGTATAAAAATATGCGCAGATTCTCAGTTTTTTTTCTAAAAAAGAATACAGTTTAACACAAAAGCTTTGAAACTGACAGAAAATTACACCTCTAATTTGAACAATATCCTGAAAGTGGCGTTTTTCTGTTTCCACAAAGTCTTTTCTAAGAATCCACCATCCTGATATGTTATCAGGCCTTGTCATATTCCTCTGCATCTCCCGTTACTTTTAACTCATTCAAATGGCTGAAGGTGTCTTTTGATCCGGTGACAGTCTCACCTGTACATCATGGAACTTTCTCCCTTTCCTTACAGATAAAGGATAGTTTTAAGAAAAACTATGAAAATGCTGTGAAGCGTTACAATGGGACCAAAGACGACCCTAGCAAAGCAATTGATGACATCCAGAAAACAGTGAGTGGAAATCTTGCATTTTTCTCTCTGTTTGTTATAAGGTATGTACTTATGGTTTGTTATAATGTATAAACCTATAGCTTGTTCGTCCCTGAAACTCCTTTGAGGTGGAGTCCAGTAAACTCCCTAAATAAACCTTGAAAAGTAGGAGAAGCAAAGTTATGAACTCTGGTAAAATTGGACCTTTTACCTATGGCAGGGATAGGCAACCTCTGCTCTTTTATGACTCGTGGACTTCAACTCCCAGAATTCCTGAGCCAGCCATGCTGAGGGAAAAGGGAGAAGTTTTCAAGCTAAGCCATGCTGGCTCAGGAATTCTGGGAGTTGAAGTCCATGAGTCATAAAAGAGCCGAGGTTGCCTACCCCTGGCCTATGGGAACCAGGAAATAGGATCTTACCAGATGAATTTAAAAAAAAACACAACCAAAAACATTTATTGGCTTCTGGCCCATCACACTTGGCATCTGAAAAGATCCCATACTCCTATTGACCAAAATATTTTAAATGCCTCATTCAGTATATTGTATGGTTTTCCATTTAGTACGAAAGCCAGGAATTTAAGATAGGTCCCTGTACTTCCAACCGCCTGCTACAGGATGTGCCAGCTTAGCGTTGTGGAAGTTAATACTAATCTGAATAATCTGGTATACAAAATTATAAGCAGAGGATAGGCTGCGAAAGACTGGAGTGGAGTCTCGATGGGAAGACACATTGTCGATCCTGTGGTTTGTTCCTGGAGTGGGAATAATAGAATAATAGAGTTGGAAGGGACCGTGGAGGTCTTCTAGTCCAACCCCCTACTCAAGAAGGAGATCCTAGACCAGGGGTAGACAACCGTGGCTCTTTTATGACTCGTGGACTTCAACTCCCAGAATTCCTGAGCCAGCATGGCTCAGCTTGGAAACCTCTCCCTTTCCCCTCAGCATGGCTGGCTCAGGAATTCTGGGAGTTGAAGTCCACGAGTCATAAAAGAGCCAAGGTTGCCTACCCCTGTCCTAGACCATTCTGGACAAGTGGTTGTCCAGTCTCTTCTTGAAACCCTCCAGTCATGCAGGACCCACAAGTTCTGGGCACAAGCCATTCCACATCCAATACTGATACTGCTTTTTCTAAGAATATATTAGCTACGCACGTATGTGGAACGTATACAAGATATCCCATTGCTTAACTTCACACTCTGAAATGGGCTTCCCAAAGGTATTTGTTGTCAGCGTAGACCACTTCCAAGCCAGTTCTAGAAAAGATCCCTTTCAAAGTTAGAGCACTGGAAGACCCGCAACAGGCTATTTGGACCCAAGAGGTGTCCCATTTTAGGGTGGTGGTATATGTTTTTGCATTGACAGTACAGTTTGCGTGTCTTGCCACGGTCATCAAGTGCTCACTCGGTTTTTGCATAGTTGCACTGCTGTGGTGTAGAGAATTTCGTGGACTGGAACGTGACCGACTACTTCAAACAAAAAGGCATCCCCATCAGCTGCTGCAAGGCTTTGGAGAACTGCACGGACGATGACTTGAGGAACGTCACCAAAGCAGAAGGCAAAGTTTACAAACACGTAAGTCAAGGCCTGCTGACCTTTCTGGATTTCTCTAGAAGCTGGAAATTGGCCAAATCCTCCAGATTTTGGTTTGCTAGCAAACCAAGATCCAGGCAGAAGAAGAACATCATGGCTTCAAAATCTAAGGGACTGGTTTGGACAAAACTCAGCAGCACTTTTGTCGTGCGGCTGCTGATAAAAACAGGATCGCCAACATGATTGCCAACGTCTGATAACGGATATGGCACAACAACAAGAAGAAGCAAGCTGCTTAATGGTAGCTTGTTGTTGTTGTTGTTTTACTACTTTTTACTGAGAAATAGATGAAAATAACTAGATTAAGCCGCTCACAAAGTTAACAGATTTTTCAGTGAGAGAAATAAGGTGGCAGATTTGTTCCCCATTTCACCTTTGTCTCTTTCGTTGACATCATGACGTTGCCATTTTGACCTTTTTTTTCCTGGGCTGCAACGAAGGTGCCCACCCTTGCATGAAGACATGGCTGGTCTTAACAGAGTTTATTGATAAGCCATGATGGATGGTTCACCTGATGCTGTGCCATAAGACAACGTCTGTTGGTCCAAGGGCCACATTAGGCTTTGCTTGGGCCAACAGAAGGTCTGTAGTCCCAAGAGGGAATGAGGCAGGATGTGTCTTGAGGGACGTTTCACAGCTGTTAAAGCAGAACATGGGGGTCTTGGGTAGAAGGAATGAAGCTGGAACTTCCCTAAGCCTCAATCTCACTTTTTCATTGTTTCCATGTCTATGAAATTAGTTTAGCTCAAGTCACAGTGACTTTGAGTGTCCACGATCGTGTTATGGAGCACGGTGTGAGATAACAAGGAGTGTGTGGCATGGAACGCAAACACTAGATTGTGAAGAGGTCCTGGCTTTTACTCTCTGAATCTCCCTACTTCCCGTTGAGCTGAAAAAAAGAGCAGGTCTGGGTTATTAATCCTTCCAAAGTCCACTGCCATAAAGCCGATCGCGCTGCACAAATATTGACACACGCTGGAGGATCTTTGCAAGTCTTCCATCCGATTGAAAGAAATCGGCATGCGGTCTTTGATTACAAGGTTAAAGTCAAGTCAAGGTTGAAGTGGACTGAGTGTGTTTTTTTGGGGGTTCCTTGTGAAAAAGCGTCTCTCGTTTTTCTCTGAAGGGTTGTTTTAGCCTGGTGATACAAACCATGGACTCTGAGATGGGCATTGTGGCTGGGATCGCTTTTGGCATGGCTTGTTTCCAGGTGAGCCTTCCTTGAAGATCTTCGTCTGTCTTAACGCCTGTGATTTTTTTCTCCTCTCCATCTGATCTTTGATTACCATGCTGACAAAGGCACATGGGGACCCCTGGCCAGCTGCTGCTGAGTTAAGATGCTGTTTCTCCTTCTTGAGCAGCGCCAACAGCTGGCTCCTGTCCAGGAATCCCTTTTGTTTGGCCAGATGCCCTCCAGCCCCCAAATAATTTTGGGACGGAGAGGGATTCTCACCTTCACACACATCTGGCCTCACAGAAGATGCCTAGAAGTTGTTGGGACCAATTTTACAGTAAAACCTTTTGGTTATGCAGTAATGGGGGAATAGGGGTGTATCGGGGCTAGAAGTCCATTCGAGGAAATTAATTAATGATCAGTGCAAAGATTAATGACCATTTGTATAACTTTAGAATAGTTGCAGAAGTACGCTATTAATGTCATCGACAGATAATTTGATGGAAATGGCAGGGATCACTGGAGTGATATGAAAGTACATTCCTCAAGCTTAAAAGTAGCTAAGTGAGACATTTATTAAGTGAGATATGCCCTTTTTTATGACCTTTCTTGCCACAGTTGTTACGGGAACCACTGCAGTTGTTAGTAATATGGTTGTTAAGTGGATCTGGCTTCCCCATTGATGTTGCCTATCAGAAGATTACAAAAGGGGATCACATAATGCTGGGAAACTGCAACCGTGTTATATATGAACCAGTTGCCAAGCATTTCAATTTTGATCCCGTGACCACGGGGATGGTGGAACGGTCGTAAGTGTGAAAAATTGTCATAAGTCCCTCTTCAGTGCCGTTGTAACTCTGAATGGTCACTAAGCGAACAGTCGTAAGCCGAGGATTTATCTGTACAGATATTTAGCTGGATGCCACCCAGTTAATCCTGTCTTTCCCTCTCTCTCTCCTAGTTGATTGGCATTTTCTTGGCCTGCTGCCTTTCCCGGTCGATCACAAGTAACCAGTACGAGATGGTGTAACACTGCACGACAGGAGTTCGCCCGACACTCCAAGGTATAAATACTTTGCAATAAAGAACCCCTTGCGTCTTGCATTGCCCTCTGTTGGAAAGGAGGGTTCCCTTTTTCGAAATCAAAGAAATGGCCCGCATCCGGGTAAATTAATGGGACGGTTTGACAAGCAAAGCACTTGCCAGTTTCCAAAACCTTCCCGGCTTGTTTGATTTGAAGTGAGAAGCCCTATGCAGAATCAAGCCACTTGACTGGGCAAGCCACTAATATATAAAACGACAGCAAAGCCCTGTCCTTATTAGCCCTGAGGATATCTGCAAGAAAACAGCCAAGCTCAGAGAGCACCCAGGGTATCCTACAGTAGTAGTCCTGTTCCTCCTCCTCCTCCTCCTCTTTTCCACAAACCTTACCCCCTTCTAGCCCTGATAATGTTACCTAGTTTGGTAATGAAACGTCTGCAAGAAAACAACCATGCGGTTAGTTTATCTTGGTGGGTGAACGTAGGCTTGAGATGGTCTTTGTACCATAGAGGATTGAACACAGTATCCATGGTCTTTGTACCATAGAGGATTGAACACAGTATCCATTCTATACACTGTATAGAATAATTGGATTGGACAATTGTGGAATTGGAGGGGGCCACAAAGATCATCAACCTTAGTAGCATACAGTGAAACCAGTGGAAACCATTTATGAGCAGTGGCCATCATTAACCTTCAGAGATCGAGGACCTACAAGTTCTATTGGTGGACCGTTCCACTGTTGTACAGGTCTTAGAAAGCTTTTCCTTATATGTAAAAGAATTGTTAGGAAGCTGCAACCTGTTGTCATTATTTCTTGGTTATGTCTTTAAGACCCTGTAGTATCAGGTTGCCTCCTGTACACCTGTTCAGAGTTTCAATGACTTTTAGAAATGTGGCATCTAATATCATATAACCTCAGTTGTGCTCTTGCAATTTTCCATCTGCTGGGAAGCTGATGCCTGCTCATCATAAAGCCTTTAGACCAGGGGTCTTCAAACTTGGCTCTTTTATGACTTGTGGACTTCAACTCCCAGAATTCCTCAGCCAGGCATCCTGGCTGAGGAATTCTGGGAGTTGAAGTCCACAAGTCATAAAAGGGCCAAGTTTGAAGACTCCTTGCTTTAAACCAGGGGTAGTCAACCTTGGCTCTTTTATGACTCGTGGACTTTAACTCCCAGAATTCCTGAGCCAGCTAAGCTGGCTCAGGAATTCTGGGAATCGAAGTCCACGAGTCATAAAAGAGCCAAGGTTGACTACCCCTTCTTTAGACAAATCAATGGTAGATGTCCTTTTGAGACCTGCTTTTCCTTCAGAAATGGTGATTGCAGATTTGGGAAATAATCGGAGGGATGGTCATCAGCCGGATGTGCACGTTGCACTAAGCCTGACACATAACAATAAGGTGTAAACCATGTTTACAAACTATGATCATTGGTTTGGGTAGCAAGCCCCAGACCCATTGTGGCTTAATGTGTAATTTCTTGGCATTTAAAAACAGCTGTCTCTTAATATCTTCTTTTCTGTTCTTTATTTGCAGGGTTTATTTAAACAAACAAAAAACAAAAACAGAAGATTTTTTTTTTTTTAGGAGCCACTTCCCTGACAGACTTGAGCATTGGAAAACCCAGTTTGATTTGACTGCTGTCTTTGGGATTTTATTTGAATTTTGTTTGAAAATAAGGAGCTTTTCCTTTGTGATCTGAAACTACGGAGGACCAGTAGTTTTAAAAATAGATTTTTTTTTAAAAGGGAGGCTTTTCATAGTACTATTTTATAGTACTGTTAGTTTCATTAGTTTTATTTGTGTCATTAATCTTCAATGTATTTAAGTGGACATATTATTTAAATTTATATTAGCCTATTCTTGCTATTGTAGTGTGACTTAACCAACAGCTGCCTCTTTTAGTTAAAGGTCCTTTTTCCCCCTTGAGTAATGCTTCTCATTCTGGACTATCAGATCCTACTCAGAACCAAAGTAACTTTCAAAATTACATTGAGTGATTTCAATCCAGAGTTCCACAGCTCTTTAGCCTGGGGTTCAAATACTATATTTTGGGGCTCAAATACTATATTTTGTTTCAGTTGGATCCATTTCTGGAGGCTTCAGCTTGGGATTTTCTCCCCCAACTTGGCATCTTGAAGGTGTGTGGATTTTAACTTCCAGAATCCTGGAAGTTGAAGTCTGCACATCTTAACACTGCCTAGTTTGAATAACTCTCTTCCCATTTTTAAAGCTTTCCAAGACTTGCTTGTTGGAAAAGCTCATCTGTAACCAGTTCGCCATCTTGGAACAAAGGGCAATGAAGATTTTAGTAGCCTGTACCAAACTCGCATCTGGAGTTGCCTTCTGACTTGGCCCCAAGGGATTGTCAAATACATTTTGTGTGGTTTAATCCCAGATTCCGATGAGAAGTCAAAAATGTTCAGAGGACACTTCTTTTTCTTTTGAATCCTCTTCGTTTGGGGTCATCAGCGGACCCTACTTTTTGGTAAAGAGATAAACGTTCTTTCTTTCTGGACCCTTGCTTTGAATGGATAGGGACGAGATAAAATAGTAAGGTCCTGATGTAAGCCCCCAATGAGACTGTAGCTTGGGGGTGGGGGGAGCAGATGTTTTGTGTTGTCAGAGGCCTGTGGTCCAATTCACAGGATCTCCAAATATGGTGGAAAATGGTTTTTTGAAAGCTTTTGGTAATGTTAATCTAGATAGACAGATACTACGAGTTTGTATAAGCTAGTTTCCTGTGCAGTGGAATGGAATTGTAGCCCCCGTAACCAAACAGGATAGATTAACTAAAAAATAAATAAATATGTTGATCAAGTAGGAACTTGATCCCCCTATCTTTGAGATTTCTGTGGGAGAATCGGATTCTGCAATAGGTAGGACACTAAGGCCCTCCTTGAAGAGGCTTCACATATCGTGCCCAGACAGATCTACTATATGAATAGTAAATGGCTGGCTCACACTACATGCTAAGCTACAAAGCCATGGTTATACAGGGGGTGGAATTTGCACACTATGCAAAGCTGAAGCCCAGCCATCTTGTTGTTTAATGCTGTATGTGAACCCCAACCTGTGCAATGAGCACTGCAAAATCTCTTTTATCAGACAGTCACTGTCTTTGTATGTGATATTTACCCAGCAGTTTGGACCATGGTTGATCAGGGAACAATGGCCTTGATTTGTCTTTAACACTAAAACATTACAGTTGGGTACCTACCTCATACAAAACCTTCAACAAAGAAATTATGACTTGGATATGGTTTGTGTTCCAGGCTTCTTAGTATAAGTAGCCCTCGGTTTACAACAGTTCATTTAGTAACCATTTGAAGTTACAATGACCCTTAAAAGACCATTCCAGCATCCCTACGATCATGTGACATTTGGCAACGGACTCATATTTAGGGCGGTTGCAGCGTTCCGGGGTCACACGATCCCCTTTTGCGACCGTCTGTCAAGCAAAGTCAATAAAGGAAGCCCGATTGACTTATCCACCGTGTTGCTAACTCAACAACTGTTGTGATTCCTTTAACGGTGGCGAGAAAGGTCGTAAGATGGGGCAAAAGTCACTTAACAAATGTCTCGCTTAGCAACAAAAATGTTGGTCTCGATTGTGCTCATAAGCCGAGGACTGCCTGTATGGTCTTCTGAAAGACACTCCTGATGATTGCGCAGTGTTCCTTCGCTACTCGTTAATTACTGTAGTTCTGGAAGGTGCAAGGAGTACTTAAAAATGAGTACCACACAAACCACGTGACTGATCAGGTGATGCTTTGTTTCTGCTGGGAAGGACTTCCTGTCTGTTCTCCCGAGCTGTACCCCCTTTTCCTATGTCAGCGACCTTTCCAGCCTGGCTGACTTCCCGTCTGCCCTCTGTGGCTGTCCCCGTCTTTTTATCGCAGCGCATCAAGAACCAGACGAGTACGGAGACAACCTTTTTGTGTCAAAATGCGTCAAGTACCAAACTTGACAAGTTTTGAAGCAGTCAGGTACCGAGGTACCGCCGAATGTTTTATGTACCACCATACATAAATAAGTGCATACATAGACAACACCTGGCTTGAATCAAAGTTGAGTTGTGGTCTGAAAAGAAATATCTCTTCATGGCCTCCTTTCCACTTTCCTCTGCCCACCTCTGCCCTTCCACCCCCCAAAAAAATATTTGGTGCTAATTCCTTGCATTCTGAAAATACCTGGTATTCTTTGGAAAGGAGGGTGTTTTTATCGGCATTGCTTGTCTGGAGAAACACTCTGAAAACAAATTCAGATTTCAGTGATTCTTTTGAAGCCAGGTTGTAGTGATTTTTGTGTCTCTGTGTATTTTTAAGACTCAGCGGGAGAGTCCTTAATCTTACCTGTCGCTCTGCATCCGTCTGAGTAGGGGTTTTATCATCAGTATTATGTGATGCTTTGAATATATATATATATTTGTATTCAATAGAGGAATCTTCCTGGACCCATAATAAACCTTTATACACTTTTTATTCCGAAAGCTCTTTAAATACATCACTTGGTTGTCCTGATTTCTTGAGAACAATTGTAATGAAGCAAATATTTGATTTCTCTGGCTGTTAACGACTTAACGGTGTGATGTGTGTCTGGGGACGAATTGCTTCTTTTGTTAACGTTAGAAATGTATACATGCTTATTTCTAACCTTCCTCCAAATTAACATACAGATCGTCCTCAACTTACAACTATAATTGAGCCCGCAATTTTGGTCATAAGTCGTGATGGTTGCAAAGAGGGCCACCTGGTGACTATCCCCGATTTTATGATCTTTTTTGCAGCAGTGAAGAGAACACCATGCTCACAAGCAAAACACTGTGGCTGTTAAATAAGTCCATTGTTTGCCATGGGGCAATTTTCACCAGAAACTGGAAACTTCCTTGCTGAAGAAAAATCTTAAGCACAATTGTGGTGTTACTTAGCCACACTTTGCTTACTGACTGAGCTGCTGGCCCCAATTATGGGCTCTAAACGAGGATTGCCTGAATATATTTGGCTGTACACCCCGAGTTGCTGAAATTAATTTGCAAATCTCTGGGGGTTTTTTTTACATAGTTTTGGGGTTTAGGGCAAAATAAGCTGCAAAATTGAAGCTGCAAAAGCACAGTTTGGGGCATATTTTGCAGAATGTACTTCTAGCCTTTTCTGATATTGAGCTAACCCTGCTTTATTTCCAGTTAAAGGATGCCCTCTTGCGTCTTTTTAGGAGAATGCTGGTGTAAGAGATTTGTTCTTTTCAGCTGTGGGATGCCATGCTTGGTTCTAGTTTGGCAATATCAGCAGACCCCTGAATGGCCTTTAATTTCCCTTTTGTATAGGGACCCAATCTGATTTGCAGCTTGTGAACCAGCAGACTAAAATGAGCTAACACTTGCATTCCAACTTGCATTCCAACTTAGATTGCAGTGTATTTTTTTGCTGCTTAAAAAAAACACCAGTCACCCACTTGAGTACTTTGCAGAAAGGTTTACACTGAATAATATATCCGAGGGGCAAAGGCACAGAAAAAAATATATGATCTGGAGAAATGGCTTGCATAAAGCATACAGTTTGGGAAAAGTGCAAGAGAAGGATTATCAGGAGATAATTGCATCTGGGCCACCCAGGTGGCTCTACTAGCAGAAACGTACACATACATTGTGCTAATGGCCTTTAAGAGAATTAGGAGAGAATTCTACAGGGAGACGGTCAGAATGGACCTTGGACTGCACTAAGCTTATTTTTATTACTTTTGGACAATGTGCGCTTACACTCGCCCTAACATCCGTGCTATCCACCAGTTGCAAGGCATGATTGTACGGCAGATCACCCGCCCTCCCTGATAGCAGTAGGGATACGGGTAGTATCCTAGTAGCGGCTCACATATCCTGCGACAGTAGCGGTGGGCTCGACGGCAGCGGGCGCAGCAGTATCCTCTCTCATCCCAAAGGGGGTGGAACTCCAGGCCGTTCTCGGTCTAGGGATGGCAAAAGAGGAAGGCTTATGCGTTAGGAACAATAGCCTGATCTTGTTGACCAGCCACAAGCTAGAAGTTGACTTGCCTAGGAAATGTTAGAAGTGGGGCCACAATGCTCTATGGCTGGGGCCTGCAACCGTGGCAACTTGTAAGACTTGTTGACTTCAACTCCCAAGAATTCCTCGGCCAGCCACGGATTTGCACTTTGTGGAAATCCATCGGCACATCCCAAAGGACAGGGGTCTCCAACCTTGGCCACTTTTAAGACTTGTGGACTTCAAGTCCCAGAATTCGGCAGCCACCACGGCTGACTGAGGAACTTTGGGAGTTGAAGTCCACAAGTCTTAAAAGTCGCCAAGGAGACCCCTGTCCTGTAGGACGTGCTGATGGATTCCCATCAAGTGCAAATCTGTCAGAAGGTCTTTGGTTGAGGTTATACAAGGGGCTAAGCCAATCAACAAATACACTGTGGCTAAAGAATCACACCGAATGTGAATCGGAATATAGGGATAAACTTCATGTAATGCTACTTTTTTGATTCTTGCTTGGGTGGCTTACATTCACTGGTTGCTCACTGGGGAAGCCAAGCAGATTTCACAATGATTTAACTGCCGTGTGTAAACCCAGTTATTGGGACTACATCTTAATTGTCGCTCCTGTTCTGTGGGCAGGAGGACCAAGGTGATGGATTATATCTACCCTCTCCAAGATTAGCTAGAGAGTCCCAGCTAGTGAAAATAGGGAACCACTGAGCTTGCTAGATAGATAATTGGATCTGCTCTAAAGCTGCTTCCTGTATTCCTTATGAGAGTAGCGTCCCTTCTATGTCACCACAATGCTGCATCTGTTCTTGCACCTTTCCCCCCTCCATGTCAGTAGTTTCTGGCAAGGGAAGGATGCAACGTACCCATCCCTCTCCATTGCAACAACTCTCTTACTCGTCCTTTTGTTGCTTCCTTCCCTTACTCTTGCTTTCTGGCGCAAATTCATAGCGCTCATCTTTTGCTATTCTGGCCTCTCCCGACGGCTGCGTTCTTTCAGATTTCACAATGCTTTGAAGCAAGGAATTTTGAGCATACTTTCCGAGGATTGTTGGGGGGGGGACTGCTTAATGGAAGGAGCAGGACTTTCTAGCTCTGCAGAAAAGATTGCTAAAAATTCCACTTGGCTGGAGGCTGGGCACGAATTGTGACAATGCCTGGTGTTGTTTTTTTTTGATGCCAAAGACTTACGTAGTCGTTCACTGGTAAGTCTTCTTCGGTCAGCTGCCGAGCGTGGCGTTTGGGACCTTGGCTTTCTTCCTTGCCCAAGGACTGGCGTCCCTGCTGAGCCTCCACTTGGTTTTGCTCATTCGTGGGAATCGGATCCTCATTTCCTTTTTCAAAGTCAACAAGGTCTGGATCTAAGTGTGAGACATCCATAATCAGAATAACAAAATAACAGTGTTGGAAGGGACCTTTGAGGTCTTCTAGTCCAACTCCCTGCTCAAGCAGGAGACCCTATACCATTTCAGACAAATGCTTGTCCAGTCTCTTCTTAAAAACTTCCAGTGATGGAGCACCCACAACTTCTGGAGGCAGGTTGTTCCACTGATTAATTGTTCTCACTGTCAAATTTCTCCTTAGTTCTAGGTTGCTTCTCTCCTTGGTTAGTTTCCATCCATTGATTGCAAGCCTTTGGGTGCTGAATAGAATAGAATAGAATAGAATAGAATAGAATAGAATAGAATAGAATAGAATAGAATAGAATAGAATAGAATATTGAGAATGGAATGGAATGGATGGAATAGAATAGAAGTAGAATAGAATTACAGAATAGAATAGTAGAATAGAATAGAATAGAATGCAGAGTAGAGTAGAGTAGAACAGAATAGAATAGAATAGAATAGAACAGAATTGAATTGAATTGAATTGAATTAGAATAGAATAATCACTCTGCTGCTACTCCCAGGCTGGTCAGTTTCTTAATCCAGAGCATCTCTGCTGTTTTGGATTTAATTTTTGGCTTGACTAAGCTCATCCAGCCCTCAGTGATTCCAAATGCCACTTCAGAATATGATGGAAAGCATTGTTGACTTAATGATGCAAAGCCTTGCTGCATTTAAAATATTTCTGGCAGCTTTGCTGCTTAAAATGTTTCCAAGCAATTTACCGAAATCATCAGAGAACCATCAAGGGTGGCTGGACATGTCTGTCTCTGCCCTTGTCAGTTTCAAATCTTTCAGGAAGTTACCTTAAACTTGGTGATTTCAGACGATTAGGTAGTGTTTGAACCCCACAATTTACCTGGCAAGTAATAGGAATTCATCCGTGATAGTACTTTACAATTCAGTGTGTTAGGCAGCCCTAGGAAATAGGATTAAACAATGAGAGGTCGTTGGTGCTCTCTGAACTTGGTTGTTTTCTTGCAGACATTTCATTACCCAAACTAGGTAACTTGTAAGGTAACTTACCAGCACTGATGATGTTCCCTAGTTTGGGTAATGAAATGTCTGCAAGAAAAGAACTATGAGAAATAAATAAACAATGGGCCATCCATGCTAGATGCAAAAAAAGATTAGGAAATGCCCCCTGTGACATTGGATAAAGTTCTGGCAGTGTAATGTTGAGAGAAGACAGCCTTACGTCTTAGCAGAGTCGGATGGATCCAATATGCAGTAACGTTTTTGCAGAGGTCAAACATCTTGGAATCCTTCAGAAAATCTTTATTTTCAATGGCTTTCTCTCCTGGAACCCAGAGCACCGATTGGTCAAAATAGGTGGCTGCCATTTCTTCTGCCTGCAAGACAGGACATAATTCTCATGTCAAATGTATTATGTTGCTGCAGCACTTCGATCAGATCTTTCCTCTCCAGGTTATTATTTCTTTTTCATTTTTTTTCTGGAGTACTATTCCTTTTTCCTGGACTAAAAACAGAGGTATGCCACACTCACAAAAGATGACGGCGTGCTTTCTTGATCCATTAGCCCCCCAAACAGAAAGACAGAATGAAACAAGCTGATATTCTCTACGTTAAGGCAGCCCAGCGATTCTTGCTTAATCGTCAGTGAAATGAGAATGAAAGACGCATCTAACGAAGTGTCTCAGAGCCAGCCAGATTCTTGCAGGAATGCAAAATATATCCTTTTTTTCCTTTTCTTTTCCTGACCCCCTCAATTTGCTGTGTGACGCCAGAAACATGAAAAAGAGTTTGAACTGAAACCCTTTGCGATTCGACACACCAGTCTGAGTGTGAAATAGGACGTTTGGTTCACCGTGGAAGCGTTTTTTGAGATTGGAAGAGAGGATTTTTTCCACCTCAAAACGCTTCTGAAATGATGGAAGCAACCCATTTTGCATTCCGAAGGGCTGTTTTGCTCTCACAAGAGGTCGCTTTGAACTCGGAATGGGGATTGAACTCTTAAAAAAAAAAAGGTGGGATCCTTAAAACATTTGCACGTTTTTGAAAATAGAGAGGTTGCATTTTAATTAGCATGGCTACTTATTGGTGGACATAGATTTGTAAGCAAAAGTTTCAGAGCATCTTCCCTTTCCTAAAAGTTCTCTTCTTGTGTTATTTGCAGTGAGACACCATTATGGCTAGGACTGAGTTTACTATTGGAATAAAATAAAATAAAAATAGGAGAGAATATCCCCAGCCTTGTAAATCCGAGTGACCTTTGAGGCATCTTGTGTGTCTCAAAGCATTCATCCTGGGAAGAAAATAAACTCTCAGACTAACAAATGTTGCCCATGCTAAGACTGGGGAAGGCTGGGAAAAGAATGGAAGGGAGAATAGACACGGAAGGATCAAGGGACAGAAGGTGAGTCTCCTAAATGGTAACTCAGCCCAGGTGACAGGTAACCTGGGGGGAAGCATTTCAAATTCTTCAAAAAGATTCATACGGCCTTCATAACTCGCTATAAGGCTGGGGAAATTCTCTTTTCCTTTCCTTATTGAACTGTGCATAATTCTCACTTTCTGATCTGGCTCAACTTCATAGCTGGCTTTTGAAAGGCATGTAGAGAATCGCAGTCTCAAACTTGGGGCCAGGCCAGTAAATAAATTTCATTTTAAGTCGAATTCATGGCAGAAATGAAATGGATTTAAGGCAGATAACACAGATAAACAAACTATTAAAGGAGGGAGGCATCACACTGATAACAAAGGTCAAGGCCGTGGTTTCCCCTGTTGCCACACGTGTCAGTGCAAACTGAACGATCAAAAAGGCTGAAAGAAATAAGAAATGACCACAAATGTTGGAAGCAATGGTTGACAGGCCAACCCTAGCTGAAATGAAAGCAGACTGTTCACCGGGAGACCAATTAAGCGAAAGCTTAGATGTTTTTGACGCTCTCTGAGCTTGCTTGTTTTCTTGCAGACATTTCACTACCAAATTAGGTAACATCATCAATGCAAGTAGGGAGTGGGGTTTGTTCTCGGTTAATACTGTATATTCTAGTGGCTTGCCCTGTCAGGTTCCTTGATTGGGGTATTGTTTACTTCTTGTTAGCCTAATGTTACTCGGTGTCATACCCAACACTCTCACCAACACTGACAGGGCAAGCCACTAGAACAGGGGTCTTCAAACTTGGCCCTTTGATGACTTGTGGACTTCAACTCCCAGAATTCCTCAGCCAGCATGCCTGGCTGAGAAATTCTGGTAGTTGAAGTCCACAAGTCATGAAAGGGCCAAGTTTGAAGACCCCTGCACTAGAATATGAGCGCAAAGCCTGCTCCATACTAGCACTGATGGCGTTACCTAGTTGGGTAATGAAACGTCTCCAGAAATCAACCAAGCTCAGGGGCCACTAAAGACTCCTCATTTCAACCCTGAGCTATAAATATTCTCCAACTGCTTAGATGTTTTGCAGACCAAGTTTGAAGGCAAACATCATTGGAAAAGACTGGGATGCTTGGAAAAACGGGTAGGCAGTAAGTCCAATTAAAGGGACACAGACACATTGAAAACCAATTAATGGCATGTGGATGAGATTTCCTTGCTACCATCTCAGCTGGGCTGCGTTTGGCCTTACGGTTGATTCCATCTTCCTTGTTTTAGGGAAGACTCCGCTCAGCTTTCGCATATGTTGGACCTCATTCTTTCTCTCTCTGGTCTGCGAGTGATTTAAAAACCAGTTGGGGATTACTCTACTCTGTCCTTTCCAAGCTGCTATAAATCTGCTAGCCGGCCAGCGTCTTTATTTAATTCAGCACATTCTTTCCTTCTGCATACCTCGGGCGCCTCCGTCTCCATATCCGATGCTTCTGGTATCCCTTTAATCTGGTTTTGGAGAAAGCATTTGGGATCACCCATGAAAAAGAGGCCAGTTATTCCCTGCAAAGAAAAGCAAAAATATAACCAGGTAAAGGTGGGAGAGGAAATGAACACAACAGAGGTAAATCTGCAAGCCCATGATTACTTTAATTCAGGTATCTATCTCTCTGTCTCTCTATCTCTCCATCTCTCTATCTCTATCATCTCTCTCTATTATCTCTATCTCTACCTCTATCATCTCTATCTCTGTCTCTGTCTATCATCTCTCTCTCTCTCTCTCTCTGTGTCTCTGTCTGTCTGTCTGTCTGTCTCTCTCTCTCTCTCTCTGTATGTGTGTGTGTAAATATATATATATATACATATATATATACCTACTTACCTACCTACCTACGTATCTCTCTCTCTCTCTCTCTCTCTCTCTCTCTCTCTCTCTCTCTCTCTCTCTCTCTCTCTCTCCCTACCTACCTACCTACCTACCCACCCTCCCACCCACCTATGTACATATACACACATATACATTTTCAGTTGCAGTAAAAGTGGGACATGGCTGAATAAAGATTTTCAGCACTCTATAAATACTATAAAATCTATAAATACTTCTATATGCCTCTGATTTGTCGTCTGAATGTAAAGTAAATAAAAAAACACCTCGGATTCAGAAGGTTCACCGTGGGCACTTTGCTTTAATGCCTTCTGTTATAATGAATATTTTATCCTTCCTGCTGACTTCTTTGTTGTTTTTTTTAAAAACAAACTGGCATTGCATATTAGTTAAGAGACTCCCCTATGAATCAAGAAATTCCAGGTTTGACTCAGATCTGCTGGGTCCACTGATTGACGTAAGCTGTAATGTAGTTTATTGGCTTAGTGCACAATGTTAAATTGGTCAATTTGCTTTATTCTGTGCACCTTGCATTTTTTATTTTTTTTTGGCCTTTAAACAAGGTGGATTATTCAGGCAGACTGTAGCCAAGATGTGAATCAGGCTGACCTAACTATACCCTGGAAATAGATATACATACATTCTTAAAATCATGTATTTCAAGAACTTCTTCACGATCCTTGCCGGTATAAAAGGTCTCTGTCCAAGTGAGGGGATCGATCTTCAATAATATCTTCTGTTTTTCCATGTTGCTGACAAACATATGCTCCAATTCATAAATCTGAAAAACAGATTGGGGAGAGTAGGAATGGTTGATCACATTAAGCCTTGCATGGTTTGGTTAAGAAGTTACAGGCATCCTGCCAGTTGTGGCTTTTGGAACAAGACACGGTTAAAACAAACCATGGCTATATAATGTATAGACTCAGCCTCTTTGTCCCAAAGGCAACAGGACTGTCTTGGTTTTTTTCCCCTTGAAAATGTTTCGTTTCTCACCCAAGAAGCTTCCTCAGCTCTAACCCCAGTTCTTCGTTAGAATGCATCCAGTTTTGGTCACCGCGATGTAAAAAAGATGTTGAGACTCTAGAAAGAGTGCAGAGAAGAGCAACAAAGATGATCAGGGGACTGGAGGCTAAAGCATATAAGGAACGGTTGCTGGAATTGGGTATGTCTAGTTTAAGGAAGAGAAGGACGAGGGGGGACATGATAGCAGTCTTCCAATATCTCAGGGGCTGCCCCAAAGAAGAGGGAGTCAAGCTATTTTCCAAAGCACCTGAAGGCAGGACAAGAAGCAACGGATGGAAACTAATCAAGA